TTCTCTCTTTGTTCCCTCTCTGCTCTGGTCCTCTCCCCCTAACTCCTACCCTCCTGTCCTCACAAGTTACTCACACACCTCTGCTCTCCCTGTCCAAGTGAGGGACTATTCAGATGCTTAGGGCCATAGAGATGCAAATTAGGAGGCATATTACCCTGAGGCCATGGTAAACAATAGTAGCCTTACTGGCTTTAACAATACAATAGTGGACTGGAGCTTCCCGGTGCTCCATGTTTAGGGCAAACCAAGGCTGGATCTCAAAATATTCCATAGCAGAAATATTTTGGTCCCCCACACTAGGCCATGTGATCTTCTTGTGTGTCTGTGAAGTCTCTAATGGTCCTGTTTCCCCAAAAGTATCTTCCTATGTTAAAGTTCTTTTTATGTGTCTTGATCAAATAGCTTCATTCATTGCAGGTTTAAAAGTTTGTCCTTAAATAAATAAATAAAAATTGGACTTCTATTAATAATGAAGGAGGGGCTCTGGCAGTGGCACCAGGACTTATCCCAGGTATATGAAATGTCTCTTTAGAGACCATTCCCTGTTGTGGGACACATTGCTCAGCTTTGATACAAGGGGGAGGGGCTAGGTCCTGCCTCAACTTATTATGCCAGACTTTGTTGGCTCCCCAAGGAAGGTCCCACCCTCACTGAGGTGTGGATGGGGATGGAGTGGGGGTAGATGAGCAGTGAGAGAAGGGGAGAGAGGAAGAACTGGGATTGGTATATAAAATAAAAAATAATTTTAAAAAAGGGAGAAATTTGGGGTATTTTACCAATTCTATATTATGTCACTTTTGAGAGCCACCAAGGAAACATGTGCAGCTACTGCTAAAACACTGGAGCCATGCTCTCCCTTGAGATACCTGTATGCTTAGGTGTGTCACATACTTTTATTTATTTCTGGGACACCCTTTGTATATTATTGTGTTTAAATGTATATATTTTCTACTAAATAAATCCACCTCTACTTCATACTGGCTTATCCCGAAATTCCTTTCAAGAATTGTCGCTTGACCTGAGTTGAGGTTTCTGAAAAGAGTAAAGCCATTTAAGTGGCATTGTGTACCATGTTTGTGGTCACACCCAGGCCACTGACACCTTGAAACAGTAAGCTGGAGAAGCAGCTAAGACTCCTACAACTTGCAGGAAACATGAAGTCGTCCTTTGTTAAAAGGCTAAAGTTAGTTCACTATCATATTTTAATCAGAAGTCCAGTCTTTAACATAAAAAAGAAAGATGCATCAGACCAAGTTTTGTATAAATGTTTTAAATTACAGTATTAACTGGACACAATATTAATTGCTATATTTCATCACAGAAGATCTCTTTTAAGGTGGAAAGCTTCTTTTAGCAATATCACACAAATACTCCATACAAGTTGCTTTGCTCTAAGGCTATTGACTTTGTTGACCACAACACACTTCTTTCTCTTGGGCTAGCTCCACTCCCTGTGAGTGGATGACTCTGACATCTCTGACATCTTGGGCACTCCAAGACAATACAGACTTACCTTCACTGCTTCACACAATGGCATCTCTAAGTCTCCATTCAGAGCCACCCCTGACACATGCCTGGCATCAATGGCGTTCCTTATTCTCCAGGGCAAATTACAGAACTCCTTTCTTCTATTCTTAATTTTTAAGCCAGAACCACGTGGCTGAAGCTCACAAGTCTGCTGCTTGATGGCAATGGGACACGCCCCCATTTTTCAATTACATTTTCACCAGATTTCTGTTTTCCCCACTTCACTCCCTAAGCATAGCTGTCCTGAAACTTGATCCATAGTCCTGGCTGGCCTTGAACTCAGAGATCTGCCTGCTTTTGACTCTCACTATGGTGGATTAATGGTGTGCACCACCACATCCAGCTCTAAGCTTTTCTTTAATTCCTTCCACAAGTTGGAAATTTAGCTGAGTAGGATCTTGCCTTGAGTTACCACTCCCTTTATTCCATTTCTTAATCTGTCTTTCTCTTGAAACCCAGGACTTAGCTTCATTCTACTTCCTGGTTCTCCTTTTCTCCTCAAAAGCCAAACTTTGCAGACACACATGGAGCTGGACTTGCAGGAAACAGGAAATGGGGGTCTCACTGTGCATGGCTTGGACATATATGACTTCAAAGTCTGCCTCCAAGTGGCACACTTCCTCCCACAAGGCCACACCTACCCCAACAAGCTCTCCTGAGACACACTTCCTAAGCTTTCATCAGCATGGCAAGCAGGGTAAGCATACCCAGGGTGAGAGAAACACTCCAGTCTATGAGATCTCATCCTGTCTTCTGTACTCTATAGACACAGGCATGGCCCTGGTGCACAAATATACATACTGGCAAAAACCTCACACACATAAAATAAATTACTTTCATTTTAAAAATTGAAGAATTTAGGATACCTAAGATACCAATTTGAAGAGGTCTCTTTTATGGGGTCCTGCAAATACAATGTTCTCAGTCCCGGGATGGAGGACACACTTTCCTGTACTATTTTGGCTCAGTGTCTGTTTCTGTCATTTTGCAAGGAGTCCTCCAATTTAAGCAGTCTACATCCTGGCAGGTGAAAAAGTCTCTGGAAGCATTTATCTAATGATTCTTTATCAATAGAAACTGAATGTCACATAGCAGGGTAACAAGTGGAATGATCAGAGAAATGACCAGTGACCTCCTCTCTATTTCCACAAGTCAAAAGACAATCTTCCCAAACTCCTCCCTATTACTTCCTGTGTCTCTCTATATGTGCTGGGTCCTCCAAATCTCTATGGCTAATTTTGGTCAACTAGTAGCTAGCTCCACCCTTTGATTCAGAATAAACTTTGTCAGCAGTCTCAGGAGTGTCAGAGTAGAGTGCAATGAAAATATTCCTCCACAGTCGCTTCTAGTAGTTAGCACCTGAATTCTACATGTCTATCCTAGTGCAGACTTAACAGGACACCTGGATCGAGCACCTTACAGCTGAATTTCTGTCCTGGACAGAGGCTTGGGATCAACCATGGACAGGCACCAAGTGCACTTTGCATCCTATGGAGTTACTAGCCTGATACCCTGCCATGAAGAGACACAAGTTTCCTACTGGATTTGTCTTTCTCCAGGACCCATGTGATTCCCATCCCCCATCCATCTCAACACTGCAGAGGCCAGACCTGGATGAGGTGACACCGTTTCCTCCTCCCATGACTTGGGGCTGTGAGAATGATGGCCATACCCTGCAGTGAATGAAGAGACTTCCTGAGACAGCTGAGCAGCTCTCCAGGACAAAAGCCTTGAACACTGTACTAGGAGACTGAAATTGCCAGGTGAGTGTGCATGGCTCAGTCCACGGCTGTACATCCAGGTGATGGAACCAAAGAACCTAGACTTAGGAAAAGAGATAGAGGAAAGGGGGTGTCTAGTGAGTGTTTATAGAGGTGACCTCTCTAGAAATTACATTTGGCCAGGATAGCAATGCTGCACTAAGTGCTGGGATCCTAGAGCTGGATCGACTCGTCTCAGGCTGGCATAGGTGCTACAGGGTCTCAGTGACCTTCTCCACTGTCCTCTGTCCTTCTTCCTCTCATGTCCTATCACCCAGCCCATTTGACAGCCTCTGCCCTCTCCTCAAGGATCTGCAAATAATGTCTCTTACTTCTGGGTCCTTTGAGATCTGCAGGCTCCATTCCAATCTGAGCACTGTTCATTCCCTTTACAATTTCACCACCTGTTCACTGAATACCCTAACCACAACTTTTATCCTGAGCATGCTTCAGGTGCTTAGAGTCAGGGTTCCAGACATCTCTTTTGCCTTCAGAGAACTCTGAGTATGGTGGAGACAGCAATCAGTAAAAGATAGAGTGCACTTAGAAGTGAAGAAAGAAATGACATAGGCAGGAGCACTGGAGTAGCAGAGCAGAGGCCCTGAGGGTGTCCTGTCCCAATGAAGGAGGGGCAGTCGAAATCTTTGAACTTAGTGACAGTGATGGGGCAAATGGCCTTCTCAGTGGCATAAACACCACTTCAATGATTCATGTAAGTTTAAGGGGACATAAGGATGAGCAGGAGTGGGGTTGCAGAACCATCAGAAGAGAGGACAAACCAGAGGGTAAGTCATTGATATAAAACAGCCCCAACTTCCCTGAAGAGCCTAGGAGGAGTTATAAAGATGATCAGTTGACCTAGGCACAGTACCAGGATGCTGTGTCCTTCTGTCTAGGAATAGGGAAGAAGTATGGGTTGCGATATTCTGAGACTCCCTAAGTTGTTTGATCTGAATTTCAACACAGTAGCATGGACTCCAGAACACACATGCACTGCTCACAGGTCATGTGACAGTGAGAACACAGCCATGGGAAGTGAAGGGATCCAGATTTCAGTAGGGCGTTCGGGAACAGTCACTGAGTCTGGACCAAGCTGTGCACTCCTGTAGAAGGTGTGGCTTGCTCAAGAGTAAAGCAGCCTGGGTGCCATCGGCTGATCAAGAACACCTGAGCAGTCACTGCAGGTGGATGGTCCCTGCTGCACAGCAGAGCTGATGACACCAGCCTGACTTAGGGTCTCATTCAGCATCTCAGTCTCTTTCTTGCAGACACTGCAAACATGGAGGCACTGAAGCCAGGCTGGGGGACCTGGATGCTCATGCCTGCTTTCTTCTTCCCTCGCTCTTCTCCTCCTCTTTCTCTGTTTCCTTGACTCCACCATCTTAAGATGAGGAGCTGGACAGTATGGAAGGAGACTAGAGTCCAGCTCTCTCGGCTGTGTCCTGTGTGTGTAGTCCTGATCATCTGAACTTCTGCCTATGCAGATAACATAGATACTAGTTTAGTCAGCTGCCATGTCCACAATTATGTAATAACCTTAAAAGTGGACAGTCTGCAGCCAAAAATGAATTTTTAAAATCTAATTTAATTAAGAATTTAGGAGTTTTAAATGAGAATCAAGAGTAGATAGAGCCCCAGACTCACTGAGTCAGATCAATGAACCTTCAATCTTGTGTTGAGTACCATTTCTCCTTTGCCTCCAGACTCTGCATCATGACAACTGTATGTGAAGCAAATGGCTCCTTTGCCATCCATCTTTTAAAGACCCTGTGTCAAAACAACCCTTCGAAAAATGTCTGTTACTCTCCTGTGAGCATCTCCTCTGCTCTAGCTATGGTCCTCTTGGGGGCGAAGGGAGACACCGCGGCCCAGATAACTCAGGTAAGTTGTCTGTTGTCTCACAGCTGCTTCACTTGCCTGAGAGCTGCTGAGAAGGGAGGGTAGGAATATGCACACACCGTTTCACGGGGCAGGGGCTAGGAGGAGGAAGACAGTCTCCTTCAGTATGACTTCTTTTATTTTTATCATTATTATTTTAGAAGCACTCTTATTTACATATGAATCCCCCCATTCCCTTGCCCTCCCACCCTCCCACACTCTCCACTTACCCCTGCAACCTACTCCCCACCTACTCTGCAAGGATAGGAGGCCCTTCACGGGGACCCTCAAAGTCCTTCACATCATTTGGGGGAGGGCCTAGGTCCTCTTTCTTGTATCTGGGCTACAATAGTATCCCTCCATAGGGAATGGGCTCCCAAAGTCCATTTGTGCTCTAGGAATAAACACTGGCTCCACTATGAGAGGTCCCATAGACTGCTCTGGCCTCCTAGCTGGCACCCACATTCAGAGTGCTTGGTTCAGTCCAATGCTGGTTCCCCAGTTTTACTTCCAGGGTCTCTGAGCTCTCACTAGGTCAGGTAAACTGTTTCTGAGGGTTTCTCCAGCACAAGCTCAACTGGCTCCTTTGCTCATCCCTCCTTCCTCTCTGCAACTGGCTTCCAGGAATATGGTTCCGTGAGAGGCTGCCTTTGATGCCCTTTCCCTATAAAGAGATTGATGGCTATCTTGGTTGCCATCTTAGAGCTTTCATCCAGTATGACTTCTTTAAGGGCAATGATTTTTCATGGAATTACTTGGAGAAGTGTCAGAATTGTCTGCAGACTTAACCAAAAAATGGTGCATAAATGGTTTCATGTTAGGCATGTGGCACAAATCTTTAATTCCAGATTCTAAGGATACTGAGACAGGAGGATCACATGTCTAAAGCTAACTGGGAAGTTTTGTTCCAAATGAGGTTGGTTTGCTTTTTGTTCAATGTAAGGAAGGTTTGCAGTTACAAGTCAGTGGTAGAGATCTTGTTAGCCTGTTGGAGACCTTATGATTAGTCCCAAGTATTTCTACAGGAAAATAAATTCAAAATGTTTGAAACACAGGTCCCTTAGATCTAATTCAGTTTTAGAGCCATAGACTTTGTAATTATTTATTGGCAAGGAAGGTTAATACCTGCTTTTAATTGTTTTGATACAAACCTTGCATGTATCAAGTCCTCATGTACATCGCTGTCTTAACCTTCTCTTTAGCTTGCAAATTCTGTTTATAGCCAAAATGTTTCATTACAGATCTTATACTATTTCATTGTTTTCTTTCACAGATACTTGGTTTAAACACAGAGAAAGACATTCATCAGGGCTTCCAGTGGCTTCTCAATAACCTGAACAAGCCCGACAGAAAGTATATCCTTCGAATGGCCAATAGGATCTTTGCAGAGGTCGCTTGTGAATTACCCCCAGTAAGTTGTATCAGTAGAATGACATCAATTGCATTCAAAATACTTGTCGCTATAGATTCCAGAAGAGGGACTCTAAACAAGTTGAGGAAATTAAGGATCAACTTTTAGCCAGAGTGATAGTACCCATGTATAATACCAGCATTTAGAAGGCTGAGACAAGAGTATCAATTCTAGGACAACACACACTACATAGTGAGACTCAAGTCCCTACTCATGGCCAAACAACAAATTTCTATAATGATACTTTGAAATATTTTGAATGTATTTGTAAGTTTTTATTTGTTTAGATCTGGTTGTTCCCACTTACAAAGGCCTAGTACATGATGTTTGTTGCTTAAAGTGACATCTACACACATTTTACAGGTCAGGAAGCTTGCTGACACCATATATTGCAATGCTACCTCCCTGAACATTTTTTCTCTCTAAAGGCCTTTAAGGAGTCCTGTCTTCAGTTCTATCACTCGGAGACAGAGCAGCTGTCCTTTGTCAAAGCTCCAGAGGAGTCCAGGGAACACATAAACATGTGGGTCTCCAAACAGACTGAAGGTCAGAATTTCAAGTTATTTCATACCCCACATTCTTGTCCTTTCCATTCATCCCTCCCTCTTCTTCCTTCCTCCTCTTTCTCTTAACTTTACACTTTTTCCACCATTGACTAATCTCATGTTATTGCAGAGTCTAGCATCATTACATGTCCTATAATTTAATCTCAGTAAATTCATGGATGTTTTATTCAGACACTTAGATTTGAAAAGTACAGTTGTAACGGTAACTCTTTCTGCCAACAGCCTGAGTTCCGCCGCCACGTTAGGGCCCCCAAATAACAAACACACAGAGTCTTATATTACTTACAATGCTGCTGGCTAATGACTAGGATTTCTTATTTGCTAGCTCTGTCTTAAGTATCAATAACCATTGATCTATATATTTTATAAGTATTTTATAAGGACTTATCTTATAGAGGATGCCAGCAGCATATGTCCTCTCTTCCTGGAATCACATCAAGAATTTCATTTTGTTTTTTTTGTTTGTTTGTTTTTTTACTACATTTCCCAGAATACTCCTGGACTCCTATCCCCACCTATCTTGCTTCCCTATTGGCCAACAGTGCATTATTTATCAACCAATAAGACAAACATATACACAGATGAACTTTCCCCATCATAGAGTTCTTTGCTTATTTCTTCAGAAGGGTTGATGCAAATGTCATAAGAACTAATGGGCCTGATTTCCAGTCTAACAGTTTCCATTAGAAGGCAGGGGTGGTCTGCAGTGTTGTTAGGTCAGGTGATTCCACTGTCTCTGAGGTAGAGATTTGCCATAATCTTTCCCTGGTCTGTATCTTCTGAAGTCTGTGTTGCTTCGGCTACCACTGCTTTTATATCTGAGTAGGACTCCTTTTTCTGCTTCCATATTTCCTGCCTCAGATCCATTAATTACATTTGCAGAAACTAGAAATAGTTTTCATTGAAGACACTCTGGCAGGGCTGCTCAGGTACATTAACCTTAAAAGAGTCTCCCCTGATATTTAGCCAAATACCTTTATTCCTATTTTGGCTAACAGAGAGACAGTAAGAATGAGAATCTTTTCTTAAAATTCCCAAAATTATTTTCCCATTTCTTGTTGGAGTCTTTACTCTTGCTCAGTCTTGATGTCACAAATTAGCAAAGATTCTCATGACCATTGATAGTTTCTCACTCAATGTAGAAGAAGGGAATATGTCCTCTGACCTGTGTTATTTCTTCCAGTGATGGAAAGTGTAGAATAGTAGTACCTACTTAGCAAACTACTTTCTGCCTTTGAGATGCTGTGTGTGTTAGAACTGGAAATGACCATGGAGTGCTAGATGAGACACTGTATTTAACATTAATATATTACTCAGGGTTCTCTACAGGCACATAATGAATCCATATTGCACATGGGATTTAATAGTAGGACTCAAACAAAACAGGCTGCATTGTCTGACAATGACCATCTGCAGTAGAGAGACTGAGTCTTTTCTAACTGTTCAGTTGTCTATGAGCCTGGAGACCTTATCAGACTCAGCCTGGCTTGGCAAACATAGAAGATTCTGGAAAGCCACTACTCTTTGTCCACCTCAAGGCCAAAGCTACTGAGTTCCACTGTCAACTGACAATGTCAGGTGCAGGGGTATGAACAGTACAGATGCACTCACCAACAAGGACTGAAGGCAGGAGACAAAAGCAGGGCTGCTCCTCTCTCAGTCCTTTATATCAGAGCAGCACAGGAAGGAATTGCCCACCCTGGGCATTAGTTACTCTCCATTAGTTACTCTATCTGGGAAATATGCTCACAATCTGGCCCAGAGACATGCCTCTTGGTTGATTCCAGATCTAATCAAGATGACAACCAGCATTAGCATCCAGAGGGGAGCTTTGGTTCCCTAGGACTTTTCCACATTTCCTCTTTGTTTGCTCTTTATCATGGAGTCACTTTTTCTGCTTCCCAAAGCTTTTCTTGAGAGACTTGGAAGTCTTTCACACTACTTACCTTGGCTATGTTCTGCAGTGTGCATGACCTGCACTCAGACCTGTAGGTATCTTGTTTTGTTTGCTTTTAAATTTTTTTATTAAAATTCAGTAAATTTGAAACTGTGATGCTTGGATATACCCAGATACCTTATCAGTTTATTTCTCACATGTGTATAAAATGAACCTGAATGAAGTCTTTACTTCCTCAAAAGGGAAAATTCCAGAGTTGCTGTCGGGAGACTCCATTAATTCAAATACCAGGATGGTTCTTGTCAATGCCTTATATTTCAAAGGAAGGTGGCAACAATCTTTTACCAAAACACTCACAAAGGAAATGCCCTTTAAAATAAACCAGGTAAGGAACAGTATCCAAACGTTCATGCCAGTGAGATCTTGAATGTGTAGCTCTGGGGCTTAGTGTCAGAGATCCCATATACTGAGTGAGGTGTGTGGCTTAATCCTTGGGCTAGAAAGAGAACAGAACAGCACACAAAACCATTTGAATCTTATATTTCTGAATGAAAGTTTAAACTCTTTAGAAAAATGATAGGAATATAGAGCATTTACTACCTGTACTATTTTGCAACCTTTAGGTGGCTATTAGCACTTTTAACAATTTCTCATGTGACTATTGCTTCTACCTCATTCTAAACTAAATTTTGCCTATATTCAAGAATGACAAAACTTAGATGCTAAGGTAGTATATGTATGAAGCATGATGCATAGTAGAAAGGAATATGCAAACATTATGGAAGCAGGAAGAGGCTGGCAGACATTGAGTATATGTTTACTGTACAATGAATAGTGCTTTCATTGGGAGTGATGAAAACACTCCTGGCATTAACTGAAGCTCATTTGGAAACCTTTGACTTCTCTCAATAACGTCTTATGTTCTATATTCATCTGTTCAGAAGGAGAAACAGCCAGTGCAGATGATGCGCCAGAAAGACACTTTTCACCTCGCCTATGTGAATGAAGTACAGGCACAGGTGTTGCTGATGCCCTATGAGGGCATGGAGCTGAGCATGGTGGTCCTGCTCCCAGATGATGGAGTGGACCTCAGCAAGGTGAGGCAGGAGAGTTTGTCCTCTATAAATGTCCAGTGTCTTTTCTCATTAGAAGAAAACTCAAAGTTTTCACCCTCACAACTTCCATTGAACGGGTAGCACTAATAAATAGACTGAGCTTCCAGCTGTGCAGGCATGGGGTTTGGAGACCAAATTGTGTTCAAGACTTCCATTGTGGGTTGTGTGATCTTGTCATATGGTATAACACTTCATCACTAGGATATGAGATGGTACCTGATAGGATGAAATGAGGGCAACTCAGGCAACAAACTTAGTACAGTACTTGGAAAATAGTTCCCCTCTGTAACTATAACTATATCATGATCTTTGTTTTTTTTCTATTTTAATATCTGAGAACATAAAATAGACAGAAAGAATACTGCACATTAACCTACAAAGTGGAAGAGAAGGAGTGACAGATGGGGATAACAGAGTCAGGAAGACCATTATGGGACATCTTAGTGTTCTTTGAAGCAGGATAACTCACAATATGTCAGCTAACCTCTCAACAGTGGGCACTGGAGTGTGCATGACCAAAGGGGGCTTTGTAAGCAGAAAACTTCCCTTGCCTCTTCCCATCCAGCTCACTAACTGCAGCAAGGCTTCTGTAGTGTTAGTTAGTTTCCATCTCTGACAAAATGCCTGTTGTAAATGACCTAGTAGAAGGGGGATTTACGTTGGCCCATTGAGTCAGAGGGCTCATTTCAAGTTACCTGGTCCATCAATGGTTTCCATGGTGACAAGTGCATGTGGGAAAAACTTCAGACCTTTTGTAAACAGGAAATAGAAAAATAAAAGGAATGACCAAGGACAACCTTCATAGGTATCCCTCTGTAACTACTTCCTTCATTCAGCTAGACCTCCTCATGCCTAAATTATAGCTGCCTAAGAAAAGGTACAAAGAGCATCAGAACAAGCATTACTGTGGAAATCTTTTGGGGAGTTTCACATTCAAGCCACACAGCCCACAAAATGCAGAGAATCTAACCCAAGATATACCTCCCTTCTGGTGGGTTTAGGAGAGGACAACCAGTTCTTCCTACCCCGACTCAGGATTTGTTTTGTCTCCATACCCATCAGGGAAGCCACATACAAGCTAGCAGGACGGTGGAATCTCACACTGGCTGGCCATCTGAACAGGCAGTGTCCCCTGTAGAATGATGGAGGGTACTGTGAGCAGGATTTGAGCAGGGTGAGACCTCAACTGTGAATCTGAAAGTCTCTCATTCTGCTTTGTCAGGTGGAAAACAGTCTCACTTTTGAGAAGTTAACAGCCTGGACCAGACCATACTTTATGAAGAGCACTGATGTTGAGGTCTTCCTTCCAAAATTTAAACTGCAAGAGGATTATGACATGGGGTCTGTGCTGCAGCGATTGACAATGATGAATGTCTTCCAAGAGGACAAGGCTGACTTGTCGGGAATGTCTCCAGAGAAAGACCTGTGTCTGTCCCAGTTTATTCACAAGAGCGTTGTGGAGGTCAATGAAGAAGGCACCGAGGCTGCAGCCGCATCAGCCACCATAAGTGTAGACTGTGCCGACATACGTCATGTCTCTACATTCTGTGCAGACCACCCCTTCCTTTTCTTCATCAGGCACAAGGAAACCAATAGCCTCCTGTTCTGTGGCAGGTTCTCATCCCCATAAAGACCCATTTACTTTGTGGGGGAACAGTTCTCTCTTCAGCATCTTGACAACTCTTGCCACCCTATGAGAATAGGCATATGGGGGAAACCATGTTCCAAGATGAGGGCAGTTTCCTCCCAGCAGCCTGATCTTATGATGCCCACTTTCCTCTCCCCCTGTCTTAACAATCATCAGTGCCCTTTACCAGATCACAGGACCACAGACTGATATGGTTTCCTATTGTGTTTAGGAGCCAAACAGAAGCCACAAAATAGCATACAAAGTTCTCTAAGTGACCCTAAATAAACACCTCACTCACTGCACAGACAATTCAGGCCAGCTGTGCTTCCTTAGCCCCTCAGCTCTTGCCATCACTTGCCTTAACCTGTTTTCATCATAGTAAATGCTTCTGTAGATGATGACAGCTACTGCAGTTTTCCTAGTGATTGGTCCTTAATGCCTATTTTAAATTTATTATTTTTTTTTGCTGTCCACTATTCACCAGGTATAAGTCCACCACTGTGTTAGGTATGGGGACAGGTGCTGTAAGTGTGGTCTTCTAACAGCTGGCCTTTACTACTTTCTCTCAACTTACCTATCTGTTATGACAGCTAACTTGAACTACTTACATGTAGTCCAAAAAATAAAAGACACAGAGATTGATATTAGGTATCAAGCTTGAAGATGAATATCAGAAAAGCAGAGGCAGCTGGGCACTAGCTTCTTACCTCTACCTCAGGCAAAATGGGCTGATCCTGTCTCCACAAGCTCTCACCAAGCCTCAGTCTGTAAACTCACCTCAGTGTGGATAGAGAATGAAAAGCCTCTTTGAGACCTTGCTTCTCTAATGTTGGGATTAAAGATATGAGCTATAATTCTCTTTTAGAGTGATTCTCGATTCTGTAGGTTTGGGTGGTCTTGCACTGGCAAATATCCATCTGTCTCTTAATCCTGAGTCCTAGGATTAAAGGTGTGTCTCACCACTTCCTAGTGTCTGATGGCTGGGATTAAAGGTGTGTGTCATCACTGCCTGATCTCTACATCTTGAGGCTGACTTTGCTTTTCTGAATATTCAGTCAAGCCTTAACAAGTCATAAATAATATATCACCACAACTATGTTATCCTTGCAGAAATCATGATTATGTAGACTACTGTGTTTCTCCAAACCAACTGTAATAGTTAAATTCTGTAAAGTCCTTAACAGCCATTTCAAAATAAATTTCTTTTCTCACCAACTATGTGTGTTGCAGTTTATATACCACTGTGAAGCCTACAAAGCATTTGCATTATTTAAAATACCGTCCTTGGGTCAGGAGGTGGAGCTAGGAACTAGATGACAGAAAGTAGTCATAGAGAGTCAGAGGGTGTCTGGAAGATGACGGAGAGATGCACAGATAGTAGTAGAGAGGGACTTTGAGTGTGGCAGTCCTTTTTGGTTTGGTGCAGCAGAAGGAAGGCTTCTGGAGATGCTGATGAAAAGGGAAGGTCATCTAGTTGCTCTTCAACCTCTCTAAGCTAGCAGGTTTTCAACCTAGCCTCTGACTCTTGGTTCTTATTGACAATTAGAATGGTAGAGATGTATTTAAAAGTACATTTATTGGAATGTACTTTTAAAGTACTTTTAAAGCTGCCCAGAAGCAGCTTCAGAGGAAGGCTGGAGCTTCAGGCCCAGGAGTGAGGAGTGCCCACCAGGTGAAATGACAGCAGTGGTTTCTAGCAGACCCATTTTCTAAAGAAGCAATAGTAACTTTTCTCCAATAGTATCCTTGTAAAGTTCTAAAGTACATAACTCTGGCTGTGTACATTTATTTATGAAAGCTCTTCTGTATTCTATGGCTTTATAAATTTGTTTTCATGCCATTAACATGTTGTGTTTGTTTTTGAGATTAGGTATCATGTGCCTCAAGCAGTGGCCTTAACATCATGGAGAATATGAAGGTCTGCCTCCTGACCCAAGCTTGAGTTTACTTAATTAACACTGTATCGGGGTTCACAATAAGATCAGTTGTCCTGTAACACAGGAGTGAGTGTTTGCAAAATATGCTCCAGACCCTGTGTTCCACACCAGACCCCACAAATGGATGGAAGATAAAAGTAGGATCATGGGCGCCTAGAAGAGCAGAACTTCAAATGCCACCCTTTCTCCATCACACTGCCATCAAGACCCCATAATCCTTACCATTCTCTATTCATCATGTTCAGCTATAAGCATGATGTTCAGCTCATTACTGACATACAGAAGCAATAAATACCTGGTGGATATCCCTTTTACATAGGTCCTCTTAAAAGCAGAATTCTTAAACAACATTTGCACAAGTTTCTCCTCATTCTGTTATGGATGGATAAATATTAAACTGAACCAAGACACACTGAGCACATTTAACAGAGACATTTCCCTGGAAGAACTGTCTGGTTGGACTTCTAGAACATTCTGGTTTAGACAGCATGTGTCCTCACAGGACAGTTTAATTTGAAGAGGTAGAACTGAGAGAAAGAGGTATTTAGGTCACTGAGATGTGAAACAAATTAGGGACCTTGGGGTTCTTTCTAATATTTCCTGGCCATGAAGTAAACCATTTTGGTCAAAAATTGCTGGGAGATCTTAACTTTCTATGGCCCACAATGGGATTAACTACCCAAGAGCTAAGAAATTTACTTCAAACCTTATGAGATGATAAGGACTTAACTAGTTACCAGCTGAGGCTGAGAGAGAATTGGCTTTGGTAGAAAAGAAATTACAAGTTACAAGTGTGAATTTCTTGGATCCTTGAATACAATTTTAGTTGATTTTAGCTTCTATTCATTCTGCCAAAAGAATTTTTATGCAGAGAGAAAATAATATCTTATTTTGGCATACAAACAGAATGAAAAATTAAACACATATGCAGAAATAGATTCTGAATTGAATCAGAATCAGAATCAGAAAGGAAAATGATACTTTGTCCATTGGCAGGAATAGACCCAGCAGAAATGTTGGTACCTTTTACTAATAGGTGGGGCCAACTGCTGCAGGAGGGAGTGGTACAAGGAAACATGAAAAATTTTGGCTTCATGGGATTCTACGGGTAGAGAAGAATGAAAACCATGTCCCATCAAGCAGAAAGCACAGCGGAGATGACACTGATGATTTACTTCAGGGAGATGAAGTAGATGCTGGAAAGTACTATGTGAGATCCATGCTGTAAATAGTTACCTTTCTCTTAAAGGGCAGGCTTGGTGATATCTTGTTTGTACTCTAACAAATAAAGCTTGCCTGTAGATCAGAGGGTCAAATAGCCACTAGTTAACCATAGAGGTCCAGAGGTCAGCACAGACAACAGGAAGTGATGTCACTGGGTGGAGAAAGGAATATAAAGCAGGCAGAGACAGTAGCTCAGTCTATTTTTGTTGGAGGATTTTGTAGATGTAAGAACTCTAGGGGCTGCCTAATCTGATTCAAACCCCTGATAGCTGTCTCTAGGTTTTTATGATTAAGACCAATTAAAAATTGTGCTACAGGCAAGCCTATGTTCTAACAGCTTACATACAGAAAACCAAAGGCAAAAAGAAAAAAAGTCAGAGCATTCTGCCCAAGAAGGAAAACTAAGGTGGTCTAAAAATAAAAGGAGGGAGATGTAGAGGGGGATGGCCGGAAAGGCTCTGGAGGGACAGGGATGACTAAGAAGGAGAAGCAAAGCAGGAAGGATACACAGTGACAGAGGACACAGTAAATAGATGCAAGCTGATAATGGGCCAACTGCTGCAGTGATGTGAACCAAAGTGAAAAGTGTCCCCAAGAACACAAGTTAAGACAGAAGATGGTAAGAAGTTAAAGCAGAGGAGCTAGAGAAACAAAGAGACAGGAAAGGCTGAAATTCCAGGAAATGCTAAAATCCCCTTCAGGGTGCTGACCCTTGGGTGACTGAGGAAGCAGATGCTGCACATATGAAAGTCAAACCTTCCCTCAAGCAAGGTAAGAAAGATAGTCACAAGATGATGTCCCTTCAGCTCCTGTCACTCCCTGCAGGGTCAGGGTTAGAAGACAAGGGTGTGAGCAGCCTCTGTGGAAATAGGGAGCCAAGCAGCAGAAAATGAGCACCCCAGAGAAGCCAATGTCACCAGGAAGCTCTGGGGGAGGAAAAGACTGGTGAAAAGCTGGCTATCCATAAGCCAGAAGGACAGCACATGACAGGAAGACTTTCTTTCTTTTTTTGTTGGTGGGGGGGGGGTTCAAGACAGGGTTTCTCTGTGGCTTTGGAGGCTGTTCTGGAACTAGCTCTTGTAGACCAGGCTGGTCTCAAACTCACAGAGATCCGCCTGCCTTTGCCTCCCGAGTGGTGGAATTAAAGGCGTGCAACACTACCGCCCAGCTTGACAGGAAGACTTTCGACACTGAGTGCACCACATAGAGTGTGAAACTGAGTGAGCTCTCAGGCTCAGCAAAATGAAACCTTGACCTTAGAGAGAGCTAGGTGTGTGATGCTGTAGACAGTGTGAGATTCTTGTGTGTCTGTGAAGTCTCTAATCGTCCTGTTTCCCCAAAGCATCTTCCTATGTTAAAGTTCTGTTTATGTGTCATGGTCACGCAGCTTCATTCATTGTAGTTTTAAAAGCTTGTCCTTAAATAAATAAATAAAATTGGACTTCTATTAAAAATGAGGGAGGGGCTCTGGCAGGGGCAGGATTTAGCCCAGGTGTATGAAATGTCTCTTCAGAGACCATTCCCTGTTGTGCTCAGCCCTGATACAAGGGGTATCAATAGAAACTGAATGTCACATAGCAGGGTAACAAGTGGAATGATCAGAGAAATGACCAGTGACCTCCTCTCTATTTCCACAAGTCAAAAGACAATCTTCCCAAACTCCTCCCTATTACTTCCTGTGTCTCTCTATATGTGCTGGGTCGCCCAAATCTCTATGTCTTTGTCTTTCTCCAGGACCCATGTGATGCCCATCCCCCATCCATCTCAATACTGCAGAGGCCAGACCTGGATGAGATGACACCATTTCCTCCTCCCATGGCCTGGGGCTCTGAGACTATGTTCACACCCTACAGTGAATAAAGAGGTTTCACGAGACAGCTGAGCAGCACTCAAGAACAGAAGCCTTGAATGCTGTACTAGAAAACTGTGAAATTGGCAGGTGAGTGGGCATAGCTCTGTCCAGGTTTGTGGGTCGCATTGGAGTCACCTTTAGAAGGACTACACTGAGTCCACGTGCTGGAAATCCAGGACTTAAACTTAAGAAAAAAGATGGCGGAAATGGGGTGTCTACTGAGTGTTTATAGAGGTGACCTCTCTAGAAATCCCAGTTGGCCAGGGTAACAATGCTGCTCTTATTGCTGAGGTCCAGGACCTATACTGCCTTATCTCAGGCAGGCATAGGTGCTACAGGGTCTCAGTGACCTTCCCCACTGTCCTCTGTCCTTTTTCTCATGTCCTATCACCTAGCCCATTTGACAGCCTCTGCCCTCTCCTCAAGGATCTGCAAATAATGTCTCTTACTTCTGGGTCCTTTGAGATCTGCAGGCTCCATTCCAATCTGAGCACTGTTCATTCCCTTTTTAAAAATGTTACCACATGTTCACTGAAAACTCTAATCACAACCTTTATCCTGAGCATGTTTCAAATGCTTAGAGTCCTGGTTCCAGACATCTCCATTTCCTTCAGCGAACTCTGAGTATGGTGGAGACAGGAATCAGTAAGAGAAAGAGTACACTTAGGAGTGAAGAAAGAAATGACATAGGCAGGAGCACTGGTGTAGCAGAGCAGAGGCCCTGAGGGTGTCCTGTCCCAATGAAGGAGGGGCAGTCGAATACTTTGAACTTAGTCACAGTGATGGGGCAAATGGCCTTCTTAGCGCCATAAACAACACTTCAAGGATTCATGTATGGTTAAAGGGACACAAGGATAGGCAGGAGTGGGGTTGCTGATCGATCAGAAGAGGAAAAACCTGAGGGTAAGTCATTGATGTAAAACAGCCGGAAACGGTCACTGAGTCTGGACCAAGCTGTGCACTCGTGTAGAAGGTGTGGCTTGCTGAAGAGTAAAGCAGCCTGGGTGCCATCAGCTGATCAAGAACACCTGAGCAGCCACTGCAGGTGAATGGTCCTTGCTGCACAGCAGAGCTGATGACACCAGCCTGACTTAGGGTCTCATTCAGCATCTCAGTCTCTTTCCTGCAGACACTGCAAACATGGAGGTACTGAAGCCAGGTCAGGACATGGATGCTCATGTCTGCTTTCTTCTTCCCCTGCTCTTCTCCTCATCCTTCTCTGTATCCTTGACTCCACCATCTTCAGAGAGAGGAGCTAGACAGTACGGAAGGAGACTAGAGTCCACCTCTTTCGGCTGTGTCCTGGGTGTGCAGTCCTGATGATCTCACCTTTGTCTATGCAGATGGGACAGAAGCTAGTTTTGTCTGTTGCCATGTCCACCTTTCTATAAGAACCTTAAAGCTGAACAGACTGCAACCAAAAATGAATTTTTTAAATCCAGTTTAAGTACTTGGGAGTTTTGAAATGATATCCAAGAGTAGAGTCCTACATTTCCTGAGTCACATCTATGAACCTTCATCAGTGTTGTGTTGAGTACCATTTCTCCTTTGCTTCCAGACTCTGCATCATGAATACTCTGTGTGAAGCAAATGGCTCCTTTGCCATCCGTCTTTTAAAGATGCTGAGTCAAAACAACCCTTCGAAAAATGTCTGTTACTCTCCTGTGAGCATCTCCTCTGCTCTAGCTATGGTCCTCTTGGGGGCGAAGGGAGACACCGCGGTCCAGATAACTCAGGTAAGTTGTCTGTTGTCCCATAGCCGCTTCAGTTGCCTGAGAGCTGCTAAGAAGGGAGGGTAGGAACATGCACACACGGTTTCATGGGACAGGCGCTAAAAAGGAGGAAGAGAGTCTACTGCAGCAAGACTTCTTTTTTAAATTAATTTATTTTTATTTTATATACATTGGTGTTTTGCCCTCACATACGTCTGTATCAGGCTATGAGAGCCCCATAGAAAAAGAATTACAGATTTGAACTACCATATGGGTGCTAGGAATTGAATCTTGGTCCTCTGGAAAAGCAGCCAGTGCTCTTAAACACTGAGCCATTCTAAGCCATACTCTCCTCCCCAACCAGTATAACTTCTTTCGTGGCCATGAGTTTCCTTGAGGTGTGACATAGAAAGAAGTCTCAAAATTGTGTCTAGACTTTACTTAGAAAATAGTGTACAAATAGATTCACAATGTGGCAACACAGCTTTATTTCCAGCTGCTAAGGAGACAGAGACAGGAGGATCCCAATACTAATGCTAGCCTGGGCAACTTAGTATCAAACCAAAGGATTTTTTGCTGGAGGGAAGGTGGTGTGAGGTAGCTCAGTGGTGCATCTCTTGCCTAGCACACTTGAGGACCTAGGTAGGGTCAGTTCCAAGTACTGCAATTGAACAAAAAGATGTTGAAAATATTTGAAACACAGATTGCTAAGGTCTATCTTATTTTTACAGCTGGCTTTGTAATGATTCATTGGCAAGGAAGGTTAATTCTTGCTTTTCATTGTTTCAATTCCAGTCTGCCTTGCAGCAGAGCCTCACCTACTCCACTGCCTGAGCTCTCTCTTCATCTTGAAAATTATATTTACAACCACAGCATTCAATCACTGAGCTCATAATGAAACATTTTCCTTCACAGGCACTTGGTTTCAACACAGAGGAAGACATTCATCAAGGCTTCCAGGTGCTTCTCAGTAACCTGAACAGGCCCGACAGAAAGTACTTGCTTAGAATGGCCAACAGGCTCTTTGCAGAGAACACCTATGAATTGCTCCCAGTAAGTTGTGTCAGTAGAATGATAACAGTTGAATTCAAATACTTGTTGCTACAGATCCCAGGAGAATGACCCTAGATTACCTGAGAAAATAAAGAATCAGGTACCAGCGTGGTGATCTACAACTATCATACCTAAATTTAGAAGGCTGAGACAAGGAGGTCATGAGTTCTGGGCCAGCAAGACTACACAGAGAATCTCAACTACCTAACCTTGTCCAAAGACCACAATTCTACAATGATACCTTGAAATAATTCAAATCTGACTACTTGTAATCTTTATCTATTAATGTCTGGTTTTCCCCACTTACAAAAGCTTAGTACAAAAACATGTTTGTTCTTTCAATTGGTATCTACACTCAGTTTTGGATTTTATTTTTTTAATGCCATAGTATTCAGATGATTGGGAAACTTGCTGATATTTCATTTTTTCAATATTTTCCCATTTACATTTTTCTCTCCAAAGGCCTTTAAGGAGTCCTGTCTTCAGTTCTATGACTCAGAGATGGAACAGCTCTCCTTTGTCAAAGCTCCAGAGGAGTCCAGGGAACACATAAACATGTGGGTCTCCAAACAGACTGAAGGTCAGAATTTCAAGTTATTTCACACCCCACATTCTTGTCCTTTCCATCCATCCCTCCCTCTTCTTCCTTCTCTTACCTTCACACTCCTCCAACCATTGACTGATGTCATGTTAATTCAGAGAGTCAAATGCAGACTAGCATTATTATATATGGTGTAATTTAGACCTCAGTAAATTCATGGAGGTTTAACTCAGACACTTAGATTTTAAAAAATGCAGTTGTTTGTATAATTCTCTAGGCCAGAGGGGCTAATAGAAATGTCATGAGAACTCAGTGACCCTGGTTTCCAATCTAGGAGTTTTATTAGAAGACAGGAGTGGTCTGCAGTGTTGGCAGGTCAGGTGACTCTAATATTTCTGAGATGGAGATTCGTGTGGAGACCGTTCCCATAATTTTACCCTGGGCTGGATCGTCCTACAGTCTGTGTTGCCTGAGCTCCCACCATCTTTACCTCTGAACAGGATTCCTGTTACACACTTCCTCCTTCAGATCTCTTACAAATAATGAAACTAAACTTAATGTCCCATTGGGGTTGTTCAGTCACATTGAGTGACCTAAAAGACCCTCCCTTTTGGGGTTGAACCTTATTTATTTTTATTTCAAAGATGACATGCTCCTTTATTTGTCTTGGAGATCACTGATGTCATTATCTGAAATTGAACCATTCAGATGTCTCTGGAACACTAGGTACACCCCTATTTCTGCTGAGAGAGAGAAAAGAATGAGAATATTTTCTTAAAAACTCATCAAATATTTGTATATTTCTTGTTGGACTCTTTATATCTTGTGCACTATTCATGTCATAAATTTGAAGGATTCTCTTGATGTTGAAAGGATGCCCCTTAATAGAGAAGAAGGGAATATGTCCTCTGACCTGTGTTATTTCTTCGAGGTACAAATGGCACTGTGTATGTGAGTCTCTGACATGTTATACTATGTTAGAACTGGGCATGATGACAGAGTACTAGATAAGATGCTATGTTTAAGAATAGTGTATTAGCCCTGCTCCAAATGACATGACAGACTTTGAAGATCCTTCATGGAAGGCCTCACCCTCCCTGGGGAGCAGAAATGGGTTGGGATGGGGGCTGGTGAGGGGCAGGGGAGGAGAGGAGGGAGAGGGAACTGAGATTGACAGGTAAAAGAAGCTTGATTCTAATGTAAAGAAAAAAATAGTGTATTGGTCTGGATTTTCTTAGAGGAACGGAATGAATATATTATTAAGATTTAACAGATAGGCATAGACTATAGAGGCTGAGTAGTACTACAATGGTCATTTTCATATGCAGACACCTAGAATCTGGTAGTTGTTCAGTCGATGAGGCTGGAGACCTTACTAGTCAGTCAGGAATGAAAAGTCTACAGGATTCCAAAGAACAAACTGTCTTAGTCAACATGAAGGCCAAGGCTACTGGGCCCTAGTGTCAGCTGAAAATGACAGTTCAGAGGAGTGAACAGTGCAGATGCACTCACCAGCAAGGACTGAAGGCAGGAGACAAAAGCAGGGCTGCTTCTCTCTCAGTCCTTTGTATCAGGGCAGCACAGGAAGGAATTGCCCACTCTGGGGAGCATCCTCTCCATTAGTTACTCTATCTGGGAAATATTTTCACACTCCTGCCGAGAGACATGTCTCTTGGTTGATTCCAGATCCAATCAAGATGGCAAGCAGTATTAGTATCCATGGGGGAGCCTAGGTTCCCTGGGACCCTTCCACATTTCCTGTCTGTTTGTTCTTCATCCTGAAGTCACTTTTTCTGCTTTTCCCAAACCTGCTTTTTTTGAGAGACTTGGAAGTCTTTCACCATCATCACCTGGATGAAGTCCCTTCAGTCATACATAGATGCTGATGTCTCTTTTTGTTTACTTTTTTATAATTTTTTATCCAAATGCAGTAAATTTGAAACCGTGATTCTTGGATACCCCCAGATGTCACATCAGATTTTTTCTCACACATGCATAAAATGAACCTGAATGAAATCTCTGATTTCTCAAAAGGGAAAATTCCAGAGTTGCTGTCAGAAGGCTCCATTGATTCAGTGACCAGGCTGGCTCTTGTCAACGCCTTATATTTCAAAGGAAGGTGGCAAAAACAGTTTGACAAAGAATGTACAATGGAAATGCCCTTTAAAATAAACCAGGTAAGGAACCAAACCAGGTAAAGATCCAAACACATGCCACCATGATGAGGAGATTACATGGAAATGTATAAACTTGAATGTGTAGTTCTGGGGCTTAGTGGCAGAGATCAAATATCCAGAATGAGGTCAGGGCTTGAACCTCGGGCCAGAAAGAAACAATCAGCACAGAAAACCATTTGTAACTTATGTTTCTGAATGAAAGGTTAAACTCTGTAGAAAAATGATAGGAATAAAGAATATTTACTACTTGTGTTATCTTAATCTTCTGATAATTTCTCATAAAACCATCGTTCCTACCTCATTTTAGAACCTAAATTTTCCTTATGTTCTAGAATAGCAAAACTAAGCTGCTCACTTATGCAATTATGTATGGAATATAAGGCAAAGAAGAAAGGAATATACAAATCTTTATTTAAAATTGTGATTTTAATTAAAATAGTCATTTAAAATTATTGGCCAATTTATCATTATTAAACAGTATTCATAGCTTTCTAATATTGAAACTCAGTGTTTAAGATACAATTCTAATTGGAGTATAGATATTAGAATTGTTTACCAAAACTCTATAAAACCATAATTTAATGCAGCTTGGAGTATTATGAATGGTAAATTTCTCACTATCCTTTTATTGGTGGCACTTTAAAAAAACCTTTGTAAAAGAATGAGTCCCTTTATTGGGTAATTTAATCTTTACTGTGGGTAGTCTGTAGCAAATTTTTATGTTTAATGTACAACTGTAATTAAAATTTTCCAAGGTGGCCAGCCACTTCTATGGTTAAAAAATATCTCTGAACTATCAGAACTGAGCAGACTGAATGAAACTCCTGGAAGATTCATGAGGTTCTGTCCAGATGGCCCCCTAACTTTTAAAGGGTTGACAAGAACTTTCTGCCTGTGGTGGGTCATTGGACAGTAATTACATCACAAAGATACAGATGGAGATCTGTCCAGAGGGTCCCCAGTTTGCACTAATTTAATTACTTCTCTCTGAATGGCTGTCAGGATGGAGCTCAACATGAGTCTGTGAGTGTCTGTGCTCTGGAGCTCTCTGCTCTGTGATGAGTTAGAAGGTTGTAACCCATGGTGTACCTTTGAGCATGTGTGCTCCTGCTGCCAGGCTGTTTTCTGAGAGGATGGATCTGTCTGCAATCCCATTCACACCACTGTGAAGGCATTCCAGTCTACTTGATGAAAGCTTTGCTGTTATTTATAGTTCATTATGTTGTTTCCTTAGACATAATGGTTGACCATATTAAATGATCAAAATCCTACATCTGATATGAAGGTCATCTTTGCATTAATGTTACAAAATATTTGATAATCAACTTAAAAGGAGGAAATACTTATTTTGGCTCATGCTTCCAGAAATCTCAGGCTGGATCAGTTGTCCCAATCACTCCACGTTGTGGTGGTGCAAGTACAGCATGATGGCAATGCATGGTGGGGGCTTATTCAGTTCACAGCAGTCAGGAAGAAAGAGAGAAACAGGAATGGCTTGTAGTACCAATATCCCCTGCAGGAGTCCCACTTCCCCAATACTTGTCTTTCTCCCATGAGGCCCTATCCCTAAAGGTTTGGTAGGATCCCAACAGTGCCACCAGTCAACAAAGGCTTTGTATCATAAGCCTTTGTGGAACATTTTAGAGACAAGTAGAACTTAAAATGTTAATATTTGAATGGAACATTTCTTTGCTGGATAACACATCATCTTTCCCTAGTTAATCCCTATGCATATGGTTATATTGTCAACTTGAGACAACTTAGAGACATTTGAGAAGGACTCTGCATTGAAAAAAAAAAATGCCTCCATAAAATAGGCCTAGAGGCAAGTCAGTTAGGCATTTTCTTGATTAATGATTGATGTGGACCCAGCCCACTGTGGGTGGTGCCAACCCTGGGCAGGTGGTCATGAGCTGTGTAAGAAAGCAGGTGAGAAATCCATGGAGAACAAGCCAGTAAAGCAGCATTCCTCAGCTTCTGCCTGATTTCCTGCTCTGACTTTCCTCTTGATTGAATGTGACCTGAGAGTTGTAAAATGAAAATAACCTTTCCCTCCCCAAATTGCTTTTCTCATGGGATTTTTATCACAACTGCAGAGACAGAATCTACAGAAGTCCCATATCTGCCTGCACTCATATTTTCATGAAAGAAGGAAGAGGCTGAAAACATTGACTAAGTGTTCACTGGATCATGAATAGTGTTTCAATGGGAATGATGAAAACACTTCTGACATTAACTTCTGCTCATTTGGAAACCTTATGACCTCTCTCAATAACATCTTCTTATGATCTGGGTTCATTTGTTCAGACGGAGAAACGGCCAGTGCAGATGATGTGCCAGGAAGACACTTTTCACCTCGCCTATGTGAATGAAGTACAGGCACAGGTGTTGGTGATGCCTTATGAGGGCATGGAGCTGAGCATGGTGGTCCTGCTCCCAGATGATGGTGTGGACCTCAGCAAGGTGAGGCAGGAGAGTCCCTGGCACTCAACTCTCGCCATGTCCATGAGAATAATCCAGTGTCCATTCTCATTAGAACTGAAAGCAATGTTTGCAGATTTGCAATTGCCAATTGAGTAGGTAGTACCCAGCTTAGAGCTGTGTGCAGCTGTTGGGCTTTGGGATCAAAGCTGTTTCCAAGACTCCCACTGTGTTTTGTGTGACCTTGATGTAGAACATAGCTTCATCACTAGATGAGAGTTGGATACCAGATAGGATAAAATGAAGGCAACTCAGACAATGAACTTAACACACTGCTTGGAATATAGTCCCCTTCCTTAAAGATAACTCATATCATGATCTTCATTAGTATTTTATTTTATTATGTGAGAACACAAAATAGACAGAAAAATATTGCACTTTACCCAAACAAAGAGGAAGAGGAGGGTTGACAGCTGAAGAGGGCAGAGTCAGGGAGATCATTATGGCACATCGTGGTGTTCCTTGTAGCAGGGTACCTCACAATGTTTCAGCCATCCTCTGAATGGCTACATCCTCTGAATTGTGGGAAGGGCAGCGAGCATGACAGAAGGGGTCTTTGTAAGCAGAAGAACTCCCCTGCTCTTCCCATCCATCTCCTGAACTGCAGTATCCCTTCTCTAGTGTTACTTACTTTTCATCACTGACAAAATGCCTGACATGAATAAGGAAGGAAGGATTGACACTGACTCACAGATTCAGAGGGCTCATTTCATGTTACCTGGCCCATCGATGGTTTCCATGGTGACAGGGGCATGGGGCAGAAACTACACACCTTTTAGTAAACAGAAAGCATAGAATCGAGGAGGGAAGAAAGACCAAGGATGACCGTCATAGGTATAACTGCAGTCACTCCTTCTTTCATTCATCTGGCCTCCTCAGGCCTAAAATCTTAGCTGTCTCCCACAGTGTTGCCATCAGCTTCAGAATAAGGGTTAATATGGGAGGCTATAGGGGGAATGAAACATTAAAGTCACAAAAACACTCAAAATACATGGAATGCAACCCTAGATAGACTTTCCTTCTGGTGTGTCTCACACCATGAGTCCTTATTTTTCCATTTTTAAAAATGCAGAAAAGATGTAATATCTTCAAAACTTAGACTAGTTCAAAAAAAAAAAAAGCAACCCCAACCGTAGCTATAATCACCTGGACATGGACACCTGTCTGAACAAAAGATGTCTCAGAAAAGATTTAGGAGAGGATGGCCAGGTCTTCCTAACCCCCACCCCCATTGCTGTTGGCCTCCATGGCCATCAGGGAAGCCACAAACAAGCTAGCAGGACAGGGAGAACTCACACTGGCTGACCATCTGAACAGGCAGTGTCCCCTGTAGGATGATGGAGCATACTGTGAGCAGGAAGTGATATGTGGTTCTGGCTGAGACCTCAACTGTGAATCTGAAAGTCTCTCATTCTGCTTTGTCAGCTGGAAAACAGTCTCACTTTTGAGAAGTTAACAGCCTGGACCAGACCAGACTTTATGAAGAGCACTAATGTTGAGGTTTTCCTTCCAAAATTTAAACTGCAAGAGGATTATGACATGGAGTCCGTGTTTCAGCAGTTGGGGATGGTGGATGTCTTCCAAGAAGGCAAGGCTGACTTGTCAGGAATGTCTCCAGAGAGAGACCTGTGCATTTCCAAGTTTGTCCACAAGAGCATTGTGGAGGTCAATGAAGAAGGCACCAAGGCTGCAGCATCGTCCGTGGCAACTATGATCCCTTTATCATTGATGTTAGTCCCACAGTTTTGTGCAGACCACCCCTTCCTTTTCTTCATCAGGCACAACAAAACCAATAGCCTCCTGTTCTGTGGCAGGTTCTCATCTCCATAAAGGCACATTTACAGTGTGGGGAATAGTTCTGTCTTCAGCATCTGACAACTCTTCCCACCCTGTGAGGACAGGCATATAGGAGGAAGATGTGTTCCAAGATGTGGGCAGTTTCCTCCTGTCAGCCTGATCTTATGATGCCCACATTCCTCTCCCCTTTTCTTGACAATCATCAGTGCCCTTTCCAGGTCTCAGGACCACAGAGTGGTTTAGTTTTTTGTTATATAAAATAAAAGTTGTGAGCAAATCCCACAAGGTAACCCTCAATATTTTCTAAGGTGACCCTAAATAAATGTCTCCACTCACTGCACAGACAAGCCATGCCAGCTATATATACACTGTGCTTTTCTGGCTCCTCAACTCTTGCCATCACTTTCCTTAACTTGTTTTCATCATAGCAAATTCTTCTGTAGATGATGACAGCTACTGCAGTTTTCCTATTGATTGGTCCTTAATGCACATTTTGACTTTATTTTTTTTTAGTTGTCCAATACCCATCAGGTATGTACCCATCACTTTGTTAAGCTTTGGGACAGGTGCAGTATGGTCCTCTACCTGCTGGCCTTTACTATCTGTTTTCAACTTATCTAGCTGTCATGACATCTAGCTTAGACGACTACATGTGTTTCTCCTGTGGAAGTCATGCTTCTAAGATCTACTGTGTTTCTCCACTACCAAGTGTAATAGTTAAATTCTATAAAGTCCTTAAAGCACATTTCAAAATAATTTTATTTTTCTCACCAACCACGTGTGTACTTTGAACTGTAACAGGCCCACTTATGGTGGTTGTTTCATCTGTTACTCTTCTGCATCTTTGATGATCCCCCAAGTAGACCCCATGGACTAAGTGTATATCTATCTATGCTATATAGCCTATGCTGTGATGCTTACAGGCAGTTACAAACGATGTCACCACCTAAGAGTGCAATAATGGAGAGATGGCTCAGAAGTTAGGCAACCTTGCTGCTCTTGCAGAGGACCCAGGTACACTTCCCAGCACCCACATGACTGCTAACAACTTCTCTAACCCCAGTTTCAGGGAAGCTGATGCCCTCTTTCATCTTCAGTGGGCTTCTATACACACAAAGTTCAGGTATCTCCACTCAGAATCACACACATACACATACATTTAGAATAAAGACATTTCTAAGTTTATTAATGGTTGGATAGTACCACTATTACCTTATAAGGATTTTTTTTACTGCAATTATTCTTGGAACTAAAATCAACAATATATAGATAAAAACTTCAGTGCCTGTCAGATCATGCCTTCCTTACCTTAATCTCCTTTCAAGCACATTGCATAGCCATCGAGCAGTAATTCTCCATTCTTCATTTCCACTGCCTGTGTAACCACCAATCTTCTCTCTGTTTCTGAAGATTTACCTATTCTGTTATTTTATATAGATTTTTTCTTCTTTCTTCTTATTATATGGTATTTTTGTTAAAATTACAAACAATCTCATTTCACATACCAACCCCAGTTTGCTCTCCCTCCTGCCTTCCTGTGTCCCCCACCAACCTCCCAACCAACCCCTCACTCTCCACCCCTTCCACTCCCCAGGGAGGGCTAGGCCTCCCATGGGGGATCACCAAAGTCTTTTACATCATTAGGGACAGGGCCTTGGCGCTCTCTCATGTATCTAGGCTGAGAGTGTATCCCTCCACAGGAAATGGGTTCCCAAAGTCCATGTGCCAGGGACAAATACTGGTTCCACTGCCAGAGGCCCCATAGCCTGCCCTGGTCTCTCAACTGACACCCACATTCAGGGGGCCTGGTAGTGGGGTCTCTGTGCTCTCACTTGCTCAGGTCAAGTGCCTCTGTGGATTTTCCCAGTATGGTCCCTCTGCTCATCACTCCTTGCTCTCAACTGGATTCCAGGAGTTTCATATACAGCATAATTTTATAGAAACCTAGATACCTTTGTTCAATAAAATCAATTTGAGTAATACCTTCAACATTTTTAAATGTATACACACTAAATAGAAAGTCTTCAACCTTAATTTTTTCCCCGTCAATAAGAAATTTACTTATTTAAAAAAAATCCAAATTCTGGCATTGTCCATAAAATTTTAACAGGTTTATTTATAATTGTTATAAAGTTGAACTGTTGAAATGTATTCACTGAAATATTTTGTTGCATTAATGCTTTACACCTTGCATTTATATTAAAAATTCACACACAAATGAAAATGGAAAAACTGCCAATACCTAATTTCTGTCCCCTATTTGTCCACTCACAATCATCTACTTAGGTACCTTTTGACCCCATGGAAAAAATATCTAACATTCAGAACTACTGATAACTGGAAGAGGAAAAAAATTTTGAGAATGAAATGTTTCCCATCATAGTGGACTCTCAAGCACGTTCTCCGTGTATGCAGCATGCTAGCTGGATATCTTTTGGCATAATTGTTACACATTTGGCGTGGATAGCACACAGGTTGGTATCTTCAAAAAGGCCAACCAGATAGGCCTCACTTGCCTCCTGCAAAGCACCAATAGCTGCACTCTGGAAGAGCTGATCTGTTTCGAAGTCCTGAGCAATTTCTCGAACCAGACACTGGAAGGGGAGCTTGCGAATCAGAAAGTTCAGTGGATTTCTGATAGTGTCTGATTTCACCCAGTGCCACAGTACCAGGCCGGTAACGATGAGGTATTTTTTACCCCTCCAGTAGAGGGCGCACTCTTGCGAGCAGCTTTTGTAGCCATTTGTTTCCTGGGTGCTTTACCACCGGTGGATTTGTGGGCAGTCTGCTTTGTACAAGCCATGGTAAGAGCATCTCCTAACTTACCCTTCTTCTCCTTCTGCTGGAGCTCTGCAAGCGAGAGTCAGCGCTGGCATCAGAGAGCTGCAGCAGTGCGGCGACAGCTGCCAGTTTTGGTTTTTTTTTTTTTTTTATATCAACTAAAGTTCTCTCGAAAAATATATCTTGAAGATTATACCAACTGCTAGAGAGGTTGGATTGTGTTTGTGGAGAGATGGAATGTTGCAGAATAAAAACAATAGGATGCTTTCTTGTGGTCTTCTGTATCGGACTCAGGAGCCTCTGAAGAGTGTGGCTGCCAAGGCTGAAGTATGGAAAGAGGGAGATGTACCAAAAAAAAAATGTCACCAGGTGCACTGGTGCATGCTTTAATGTCCTCACTCAGAAGGTGGGGGCAGGAGGATTGGGAGTTCCAAGTCTCTCTCAATTTCCTAAAGACTGGAGCTAGTTCGTGCTGCATGAGGTGCTGTCTCAAAAGTGGAAAGAAGAAATGAAGTGTTCTCACTCACAGCAGAAGTTAAAGAAACTGTTTCCAGCCCAGGACTTGTTGGGTAGGCAATAAAACTGCTTCTTATTCCCAGTCTCATCAATTGGTAAATGATCTCAAAAGTAAGAAATGGCCACAAGATAAAGACCAAATCCTTGGCCTAAGGAGCAAGGTCAAGGGTTACTATGCTAAGACCTTAAGATTAATGGCTCCCTTGACAAAAGGTCTTCTATGCACCTCCAGGATGGTGACCCACAGTCCCCTACTTCCAACACAACAGACAGGGTGATGCCGGCTGCTATTGTCCAGCGTAGGGGACTGTAAAGTGTTGCACAGATATCCCACATAAGCTTCAAAGGAATAGTAACAGTTTGGAACTAGAAAGGAGACAGTTCAAAGTGAGGGCAAGCCTCTGGGCCTACAAGCCTCTCTCCAGGCAGGAGGTAGGCTCGGAGAACAAAAACAACAGTTTCACATAAAATGAAATGGTGTGGTCATATACAAAACAAGAACGTTAGTCATGGCCACTGAGGTGACAGACTAGGAAGAGTCCCTGCACATACATGTGGAAATGAAGCAAGACACCTCCACCTTCAGGGCAGCAGGTGGCCGCATGCCCTTGGCAGGACACGGAATAGCGCTTGCTCAGTGGCTGCTATGTGTCTCCCCCACCTTCTGTCATGGGCTCAGTGTGCTCCCCCAAATCTGTTTACATTCAAACACCTAGTTCCTCAAAATATAGCCTCATTTTTAGCTATCCTTTAAGGACATAATGAAGGTAAAAAGAAGGTTATCATGGGGAACTCTAATGTAATATCACTGGTATCCATATAAAAAACAGATTGGGTCACAGATACACAAGGAACACACAGTGAAGTCCCCAGAAAATGTACCATGTATAACCATGGAAAACCAGACTGTTCACACTTGGAGTTTAAACATTAGCCACCAGAACTGAGAAAATTATTATTTAAATCATCCAATCAGTTCTGTCTGTTACACAGCCCTGACTAACGCATCTCCTCACCCCATTGCTGAGGGGTATGCGCACTTTGCATACATCCATTGCTGTCTTCCCATCTTTTGCTGAGGCAGCTTGTCTCTATAGTCCATATGCCTCCACACCTAGAGCACTACACCCAAGACTAGCTTCAGTGGCTTCTGGGACCAAGTCTGACCCCACACAGAAAGAAACTTCAGAGTCTTGGGAGGGGAGCAGCCTACCCTACTTTGCTTGTGGGAAGATAAGAACCACAAAGAGCCAGAGAACAAACAGTGTGAATTATGGGGGGTCTTAGTGCCATTTGCATTCTCGCCCTCCTCTTAAACATCACAGATCAGCATCAACTGATTGGGGTGCTCATGCCAGGGTCCCAGCAGGGTTAGTCACCTTTTCCATCAATATCAGCCCACATCCCTATGTCACCTGTAGTTGTTCATCAAGAGCAACGGCTTTGAGATTTGAAGTATGGAGGACCAACTCAACTGACCATGATGACATTTAGCTGATATGAGATGGGGCTGGTTACCTGGATCATCGGGCTTGCAGTGGTTCCCTTTGCCACTGTGAGGAGCATGGCCAGAGCTGAGAAGATGCTCATGGGTGAGAAAACAGTATTTTTTTCAAGCTGTCTTCACCCAGTGTTTTCAAAAGGGTTAAGGCAAGGGTGCCATTTGCTCCAGCAGAGGGTCCATGATGGTGAGCCTGGAGTGAGGGATTGTAATCAACATCCCATAATTACAGGCT